TGCAAGGTTGTTGGTGCTTCTCATGGTGTCCATCCTCGAACTCAGTGGTGGACACCCTGGGTCGGGGAGGCTGTCAAGTTAAATTTGGAGTCCTATCAGTCCTTGTTGGCCAGTGGGACTCCGGAGGCAGCTGAGGAGTACAGGAGGGCCAAGCATTCCACAGCCTTGGCTGTTGCTGAGGCAAAGCTCGGATGTGGGAGGAATTTGGAGAGGCCTTGGAAAAAGACTCTCGGTCGGCTCCAAGGAGATTCTGGCAAACCATTACGCGGCTGAGTAGGGGAAAGCAGCACTTTACTAACACTGTGTTTAGTGACGGTGGGGTGCTGTTGACCTCAACCAGTGATGCCGTCAGGAGGTGGAAGGAATACTTCTCGGACCTTCTCAATCCCACCGGCACGTCTTCCATGGAGGAAGCTGAGTCTGGGGACTTCAGGGTTGGTCTGGACATACACGTGGCTGAGGTCGCCAAGGTAGTCAAAAAAACTCTGCGGTGGCAGGGCTCCAAGGGTGGATGAGATTCACCCTGATTTCCTTAAGGCTCTGGATGTTGTGGGGCTGTCTTGCTTGGCTCGCCTTTGCAACATCGGGTGGACATTGGGAGCAGTGCCACTGGACTGGCGGACTGGGGTGGTGGTTCCCCTCTTCAAAAAGTGGGACCAGAGGGTGTGCTCCAATTATAGGGGCATCACTCTCCTTAGCCTCCCTGGTAAGGTCTATTCAGGGGTACTGGAGAAGTGAGTCAGATTGTTGGTCGAACCTCAGATCCAAGAAGAACAATGCGGGTTCTGTTCTGGCTGTGCAACACTGGATCAGCTCTTTACCTTCACTAGGGTCCTCAAGGGGTCATATGAGTTTGCCCATCCAGTCTACATGTGTTTTGTGGACTTGGAGAAGGCTTTCGACCGAGTTCCTCAAGGTACACTGTGGGGGTGCTCCATGAGTATGGGACTGGGGGCCTGTTGTTATGGGCTGTTTGGTCCCCATACAAGTGGTGCAAGAGCTTGGTTCACATTGCCAGTAGTAAGTCGGACCCCTTCAGGGTGGGAGTGGGTCTTCCAGGGCTACCCGTTGTCACCGATTCATGTTCATAACTTTTATGGACAGAATTTCTCGGTGCAGCCAGGGGGCGAAGGGATTCTGATCTGGTGGCCTCAGGATTCCATCTCTGCTCTTTGTAAATGATGTGGTCCTGTTAGTGTCATCGTGCCATGATCTTCAGCTCTCACTGGAGCGGTTCACAGCCGATTGTGAAGCGGCTGGGATGAGAATCAGCACTTCCAAATCTGAGACCATGGTCCTCAGTCAGGTCAGGTCCTCCTTTTGTTCCAAAAACACGACTGAAGCTCCGAGGAGATCGGGCGTTTTCAGTCATGGGTCCCAAACTGTGGAACAACCTACCCCCCAACATTAGGCATGCCACCTCCCTTCCTGTGTTCAAATCCCTGCTAAAAACATATCTGTTCGCTCTGGCGTTTCATACTGCGTGAGTTGATTTAGTATATCTTGTTCCATGTCTTCATTTTAATGCTGCTGTTTTAATTTTTTAAGGTATATTCTTCCTGCTTTTTATTTCTTAGTGTTACCATTAGTGTTAAGCACTTTGATAACAGTCTATCTGTTTTAAATTTTGCTCTATAAATAAATATGACTTGACTTGACTCAGTCGGAAAAAGGCGGATTGCTCTCATTGGGATGAGATTGAGGTTCTGCCTCAAGTGGAGGAGTTCAAGTATCTCGGGGTTTTGTTCACGAGTGAGGGAAGAAAGGAGTGTGAGATTGACAGATGGATTGGTGCAGCATCTGCAATATTGTGGACCCTGTGCAGATCCACTGCGGTGAAGAGTGAGCTGAGTTGTAAGGCAAAGCTCTCTGTTTACCAGTCAGTCTACGTTCCTATCCTCACCTATGGTCACAAACTCTGGGTAGTGACCAAAAGAATGAGACTGCGGATATAGGTGGTTGAAATGAGTTTCCTCCACAGGGTAGCTGGACTCTCCTTTAGAGATAGTGTGAGAAGTTCAGTTATCTGGGAATCTGAGTAGAACCACTGCTCCTCCACATCGAAACGAGCCTGTTGAGGTGGTTCAGACATCTGGTAAGGATGGAACTTGGGCATCTCACTCAGGAGGTGCTTCGGGCATGTCCACCTGAGAGAAGACCCTGGGGAAGACCCAGGACACGCTGGAGAGACTACTTCTCTCAGATGGCCTGGGAATGCCTTGGGGTCCCCCCAGAAGAGCTGGAAGAGGTGGCTGTGGAACCAGATGTCTGGGTCTCTCTGCTCAAGCTGCTGTCCCCGGGACCCGACTTTGGAACAAGCAGAGGATAATGGATAGATGGATGGTTTCCTGTAAAGATGTTAGAATCCTGAAGCTGATTCAGGAGGACTGAGAAGCTAACGCTAACAGCTAACACCTGTCACACCATCGAGTCGTGCCTCTTGTTTCTGCGGCGTATTAAAGTCCACGTCTGCAAGAGGACAACATGTCCACCTTCTGTCTCCAACCCTCCTACTGACTCAACTCCAGAAGAGACTTAATGGAGCAGAATAATGGAGATGGACCTGAACATGAAGACATTTGTTTTATTTTTTAATTTACCCTTTATTTATACAGGTAGTCTCAATGAGCCACGAGAACCCATTTTCTAGAGAGACCTGTTTAGGGAGCAGATAGTGGGGGTTAAGGGCCTTGCTCATGGGCCCAGAATGGGGCAAATGAGGGTGGGGGCAGGTGTGGGTGCTTCACCAACCCCACTCACATTTTTGATGTTGTCGGTACTGGGGCTTGAACCAACGATCTTCCGATCACAGGCCCACCTTCTCTAACCCCTGTGCCACCACTCCCCCTACATGTCCACCTTTTGTCTCTGACCCTCCTATGAACTCATGTCCAGCAGGTCATTTTGAACAATCCTGAAGCACCGACTTAGAAACATCACAAAAATAGCACAATGGCAAAAGTTACAGTGATCCAAAAATACCTTGTGCTGTGCTATGCTAACACACTGCATGGTGGCTTTTGGGGTTATAGAGGGTTCCATTATTCGTCTCTCATTAGGGCTGCTTTTCTGTGGTGCATTCTGTGTTCTTGGCAGACGTGCTATGTAAAACCACCTTTAAGAGGTCCAGTTGATCCAGACGGGATGTGGAGGGTTTACAAGAGCCAGAAGATGGTGGCTGAGAGCACGGCGACATGCTAACAGAAGACTGACATTCAGACAGAAGATCTGAGACAAGACACTGCTGAACACAACAGACACACTTCACCACATCACACTGACAATACAACTCCACATACACCATCAGATGAGTACACCACAGTAACACTAACTCCTTAACATACACTATGCTAACACATTAGCATACACCATGCTAACACTTTAGCGTACACCATGCTAACATAGTAGCATACACCATGCTAACACCTTAGCCTACACCACAGTAACACCATAGTGTACAACATACTAACACCTTAGCAAACTCCATGCTAACACCTTAGCATATACCATGCTAACATCTTAGCCTACACCACAGTAACACCATAGTGTACAACATACTAACACCGTAGCAAACTCCATGCTAACACCTTAGCATATACCATGCTAACACCTTAGCTTACACCATGCTAACACCTTAGCATACACCATGCTAACACCTTAGCATATACCATGCTAACACATTAGCTTACACCATGCTAACACCTTAGCATACACCATGCTAACACCGTAGCAAACTCCATGGTAACACCTTAGCATACACCATGCTAATGCTAATACTGTGGTCCACTGCATTTTTCCTACGAACCAAACATTTGTGTAACAGGACCGTTACATTATGATTTGTCAGAAGATTGAACTATTTATGTAAAATGTTTCATTTGATTTACTTTTAGATCACCAACATGAGGCAAAATACAAACGGTGCGGCAGCAGCTGAAAGGACATAACCTGTTTGTGTGGAACTAGTTTTCTGAAGAACTAGTAAAACTAACTTGTGTATGTTAGGCCTGGAGTAACATTAGTCTCAGTTAAGCAGACCTACAGTTTCTGTGTTCTGAAGGTCCGACTCAGCAGAAGTTTCAGGGAGTTTTGGTGTTAAACTCTAGCTCATGGTTCTGTTTTATCGTCTGATGGGATCGGGTGCATCTTCTGTGAGTCTGGACCAGGAAGACGCTCCGACAGCAGCAACGTGTTGTGCTTCATCACTGAGGTACTGGTACTGGTACAGTACTGGGTAACCTGATAGAACTCTTGTTGTGCATTATGATTCTTTGGACTTTAACATAAGTCGGTTTTATTTACAAATAAAATAAGCTCTTCTTTAAATCGTTAACACAATAAAGTTCATTAACCTGCTGATAAAATGTGATCCTGTTCTAGATAAAATCTCATAAACTCTGAAAATTAAAGATTAAAACATAAAGTCGGTGAACGATGGGCGCTCCATGTGAAAGTGGCACACCACCGAACCCCGGTGCTCTCTTAAGGCAACACGTCTAACAGTTTTAGGTCCAGCGCCGGCCAACAGAACCAACGCTCAGACTACAGGTCTTCAAAGGATGAAACTGGAGGAGATTTAAAGACCATCCATCTTTCTCACCACAGAGTTTAAAGTAAAAGAAGGTCAACTGGACCACAGAACTTAAAATGTGGCACGGAGTCACCTAAAACAGACTTTCATTACTCGTTAACGTCTCGTTAACGGTTCTCATTTACAATTCATCTCTCTTTTTTCACAACCAACAGATCTTCAAACGTCTTGAAACAAAGATTTCTGTAAAACCTGAAACATTTTCCAGTCTTCTCTGTGACATCATGTGAGCGCACAACCATAGAAACAAAAATAAGATTAAAAGAAAGGACCTTTGAGAGAAACGCCCTGAAGATGAAGAGAACGAGCTCCTTTGGTTAAAAAAGGACAATCTGGCTCCTCATACAGAAAGTTCTGTCAATGGAGGAGCGTGCGTGTTGATGTGTCTGATCTCCTGATGGTCCAGGCGGCTCTTCTGGGTTTATCGACTGAAGGAAGTCAGAGCCTCACGTGATCAGGCAGCAGTTGATGCAGCGAGGTCCCAGCCGTCTCTTCAGTGCGCCTTTCTTTCTCTTTGGAGCCAGAATGGCAATGATGGCCTCGTCAAACACCGTCTTGAGACCCTTCTGGGTCAGAGCAGAACATTCCACATAACAACACGCTCCAATCTGGAGAAAGACACAGAAAGAGGATCAGAATGTCTCAGAGTCTGTTTCATAGTGTCATAATCTGAAATAATCTGAACCCTGCAGGAAAACACAGGAAGGAGATGCTGCAGAATCCAGCCTGTTGCTGCTATGGATCAGACCTAAAATGTGTGTGAGAAGAACCAAACCTTCTATCTGTGGATCAGTGGTTGTAAAGTGTGTACTTGTACCTTCTATCGTTGGATCAACAGATGTAAAGAGTGTACTTGTACCTTCTATCTGTGGATCAGTGGTTGTAAAGTGTGTACTTGTACCTTCTATCTGTGGATAGAAGTGATCCATGTACCTGACTCCACCTACTGTCACAAAATACGGTGGTCACAGAATTTCACACAGCGCAGCTTTGCAGATTTTGCATACAGTAGTTGAACCGCAGGATTCATCTTTAGTGAAATATTTTCACACTATCGATGCATTTTTATCTTTTTGCCAAGACTGGGCGTGATCCACGCCATCTGTCTGCATGGAGGAATCCATTTTGTAGCTTGCCGGCGCTCGGTGCGGATCACGTGACGCAATGACGTAACTGCGACCTAATGATGTCACTACGAATACTCAATGTGAAATTTAAAAACTCGATAGATGTCTTAGGAATCGATGTGTAGATTACTCGAGTAGTCTGTTAAAGCCCTAGTAGGTGCACAATCATACGTGAGCAGAGTAAACAGGAGGGGGCTCAGCACACATCCCTGAGGAGAGCCAGTGCTGAGGGTTATGGTGGAGGAGGAGAAGTTGTGGATCCTCACTGACTGAGGTCTGTTTGTTAAGAAGTCTAGGACCCAGTTGCAAATGGAGGGGCTTAGTCCTAGTGTGAGTAGTTTGTCCATCAGGGTTTGGGGGATCATGGTGTTGAAGGCAGACGTGAAGTCCACAAAGAGCATACGGACGTTAGACGTGTTCACACCACTAGTTGGAACCACTCTCTGGCACATTTTGCAGCGCATCTGCAGTTTATCGAATCTTAGAAAGCCGAACCACTTCCACACCGCCAAATTATTTCCTCTCTTATCAGTTATGTCATCTGCTTTATCGTCGCTTGTGAAAGCTTGTTCAGTCACATTCTGACGGTCAAGGGGACTCATTTTGAAGCGAAAACTTACCGCGCGTTGGAGCTTAGCCTAGCCTAGCTTTCTACCGCTGACTCCTTCTAGCTTTGGTGCATGTCACTACGCACTTACGTTGTTGTGTCGCAGCTTTTTCTATTCGGGTTGAAACTGAAGCGGTCGCATTAACCCGAACAGAAAAAGAAATATGCCAGTAAAACACTGTAATCATAGCGTAATGTATATCGAAATATCAAAAATGTGCTTGAAACTCATATCACCGTTACTGAATAAAAGTATATTGTGATATATATTGATATTGAATTATTGTCCAACCCTACTTCTATCTGTGGATCAATGATTGTAAAGTGTGTACTTGTACCTTCTATCTGTGGAACAATGGTTGGAAAGTGTGTACTTTGTACCTTCTATGTGTGGATAAGTGGTTGTAAGGTGTGTATTTTACCTTGTACCTGTGGATCAATGATCGTAAAGAGTGTAATTGTACCTTCTATCTGTGGATCAGTAGTTGTAAGGTGACTATCCATCCATCCATTTTCTTTACCCGTTTATTCCATTTTGGGTCACGGGGGTCGCTGGTGCCCATGTCCAGCAATCACTGTGCGAGGGGCGGGGTACACCCTGGATGGGTCGCAAGTCCATCACAGGGACACATAGAGACAAACGAGACAAACAACCATTCACTCTCTCACTCACACCTAGGGACAATTTAGAGTTACCAATCAGCCTAACATGCATGTTTTTGAACTGTGGGAGGAAACCGGAGTACCCGGAGAAAACCCACGCATGCACGGAGAGAACATGCAAACTCCACCCAGAAAGGCCCCTGGACCGGGGTTTGAACCAAGGACCTGCTCGCTGAGAGGCAGCAGCTCTACCAGTTGCGCCACCGTGCTGCCTGTAAGGTGACTATGTGTAGCTGTAATTATAAGCTGAAGTTTTTGGTTCGGCTGTTTTGCGTCTCAGTTGAGACTGTAAAGTTCCTGCATGGTATTGTTCCAGATAATAGTCTTAGCCCGCGGTTGTGATGGACGAGGATACGGTGCGTGACTCTGAGCAGACAAACCTCCTTGGCGAGTTTCTGTCCCTGCTCGGGGCTGACGGGCTTCTCCTTCATGTTGTTCAGTTTGGATATGGTCTTTGGGTCATCACGAAGGTCAATCTGTAGAAGAAGCCAACAGTTTAATCTGCGTCAGTTAACCAGATTACGCTTCTTGCTTCATTTAACTGTTGAACTGCAGAACCAACGGATGCTTCTTGTTCTGGAACGAGCCGTGTTGACCCACACTTACTGCTGTTCCGCAACACAAATCTCCTCCCACAGAAACACTCACAGAAAGCTTCTCCAAGACCCATTCAGAGTCCAACATGGGGTAGAGGTAGGGCGCCGACTCGAGACCCGAAAGTCCCAGGTTGGATCCCCAGCCATTCCCACATGTCGTGGTGTCTCTGAGCAAGACACCTAATCCCTAATCCCCGGGTACTTACACAGCTGCCCACTGCTCCTCTTGGGTGTATCCCAGGTGTGATGGGTTAAATGCAGAGACTAATTTTGTCATTGTATGGGAACATACAGTGATGACAACACATAGCACTTTAATCAACCTTTCCTTTTCTTATGACTTAATGTCCTGAAGCTCGTCTTCATAAATCTGAAGATGCAAAACAAAGCGAGTTGCAATGAGGAACAATGATAGAACAGAGAGCATCAGCAGATAAATCTGGTGCCACCACCATCCGGACCACCACCATTGAACCACCACCCTCTGAACCACCACCATCTGGACTACCACTGTCTGGACCACCACTGTCTGGACCACCACAATCGGACCACCACTATCCGGGCCACCACCGTCCAGACAGCCACCATTGGACCACCACCATCCAGATCACCACTATCACACCACCACCCTCTAGACCACCACCATCAGACCAACACCATTG